CTGTGGAGTCTTGTGAGCAAATATTCTACTTTGTGAAATTACTGGCATTAAAGTTGTGAGCCAGCGATTGGGCTGCTGCAGAAATCAGTTTGCTCTGGAGCCCTCCTTCCCGAGCGAAGGCAAAAATGTGTGAGCCGGAGGACAAAAAACTGAGCTAGCTCACACTAACTCAGCTTAGAGGGAACACTGTAGGGCACATGAAGAAGAAAAAGAGATTGGATTTATACCCCGCCTTTCACTGGGAGTCTCAGAGCAGCTTACAAACTCCTTTCCCTCCCCCTCCCCACAACAGACACCCTGTGAGGTCGTGGCTCTTTTTCAAGGACAGCTCTTATCAGAACTACGGCTTGCCCAAGGTCATCCCTGTGAGGTAGGTGGGGCTGAGAGAGCTCTTGACAGAAACGGCTCTTTTTCAAGGACAGCTCTTATCAGAACTATGGCCCAACGCCATCCAGCAGGTGCAAGTGGAGGAGTGGGGAATCAAACCCAGTTCTCCCAGATTAGAGTCCGCACACTTCACCACGACACCAAACTGGCTCTCATGGTTTGTTGTTGCCGTCCTTGACCTTTGATTCTGCAGATCTCTCGGAACCTGTGGATGTTTACAGTGACTGGATAGATGCTTGTGAGGCGGCCAATCAGTAACAGGGACTGGAGAAGAATGTGGCTTGGCTCTCATGGTTTGTTGTTGCCGTCCTTGACCTTTGATTCTGCAGATCTCTCGGAACCTGTGGATGTTTACAGTGACTGGATAGATGCTTGTGAGGCGGCCAATCAGTAACAGGGACTGGAGAAGAATGTGGCGGGATTTAGCAGAATTTCTGATTTTGGAAGTGGGGGGGGTTTGTGACACAATGCATTGAGGATCCAGCTGGTGTGGTCTGGAGATGGCGATTCTTGTGATATTTGTTTCTGCTAAGGAATCCGGTCATTTTTCATGAATCCCCCTGAAGTTTAGGGAATAAAGACCATCTGTACGATCCACCAAGGGGAGAGAGGCAGGCAATTCTGTCAACGGCACCATTGCTGAGAATTCCATACAGGATGTACAAGGCTGTCATAATCTGCTAAGAGCCACGACACAGCCGCGTCCCTTTCGGTGGGGCGTTCCATGCGGGGCTTCCGTCTCCTCCACAGCAAAAGCACACGAAGTGCCACGTCCTCGTTGCCATGATTCAACACTCAAAGAACACGAATAAACAAAACCAACGCAAGAGATAATCTCCTCGTCACCAGTATAATTTCTTTAGGGGTTTTTTCATTGCAATTTCTTTTTCTTCAGGTGCAGTGCTGTGCTTAGACATTACAGTGAAATGGGGGTTGCATCAAAATCTGGCAGGGTGGCAGGTTGCGCTCTTTGTGTTCCTTCTGTTCTCCTGCATAGATTTGTACCCAGAACTCCTTGATCGAGCATCCCAGGCAAGCCTAACTCCTCTCCATCAGTTCAGACTTTGGATTAAATTACGGGTCCACTTCTGTTATCCCAGAAACATTTCCCACGGCTCTGCTTTAGATGTCATTGTTTTAGATGGGGGTGGGGGGAAACGGCACCCTAATTAAAGAACTGCTTTATTTCAAAGTGCTTATTTAAAATCGGGTTTAGTCGTCACCGATAACTCTGAACGCCAAGTCTTCTGTGTTGCCGGTTACGGGGAGCGTGAATGGTTTGTGACATTACAATAAAGCTCTTTGTGCTGGGGTACCAGCTGGTCATAACCCTGAGAAATGTTGTCCTACAAATGATTAGGAGACGCTGGCGTAACACAGGGCGGTGGTTTTGACGGCATGTCGTCGAATATCTTCTGGATATTTGTACCTTGTTTCTACTCTTCTTGACAAACTTGCAAGACTAGATCTAATGGGTGTAAATGACAAGGGAGTCGATACCGGCTAAATATCAGAAGAAACTTCCCTAACTGTCAGAGTGGTTGAGCAGTGGAATGGACCGCCTCGGGAGGTGGTGGATGCTCCTTCGCTGGACGTTTCCAAGCGGAGGCTGTCTGACCACCTTCCGGGTATGTTGTAGGGCTCTCTTTTGGCTCTGCTCCTGCAGAGTGCAGGGGGCTGGACTAGATGACCTGCAAGGTCCCTTCCAACTCTTAGCATTCTATGATTCTATGATAAGTGCAGGATGAGCCAGGTCTCTGCGTAAGAACGATGTACTTGCTTTACCACTTGGGAGACTGGCTGTGAGCGGGATCTCTTTCTTACTGCGCTGAACTTTTGTGTGGGTTTCTGATGCCGAGCCTGGCAGACGTGGATTGGGTGGGGGGAGTGTTTGGGCTCATCTCCCATCTGCCGCCTTTGGCGTTGTGTATTGCTGGCACTGCTGTTGGCTCAGGTGGCCTTTTGTGGCTGTCCTTGGGTAGCAGCCGCACCCCCCCCCTCGTGCCCCTTCCCAAATGGCAAATGCTGCGCCTTATGCAGTCCCCCGTCTTCGAGATCTTGCATTCTGTGCTCATTGTTGGTGTGAATAAAGGACCGCAGAGGCAGAAGCCGATTTTCATGTGTTTGGGGAACCTCTAGCCAGGTCTTACCATGAAGACGTCCCTTTTAAATAAATGCCCTATAGAAAGGGCAGGTGTGCTTGGTGCTTGGGGGGGAACAGCAGTGGGAGGGCTTCTTCTGGAGTTCTGGCCCCACTGCTGGACCTCCTGGCGGCACCTGGTATTTCTGGCTCCTGTGTGACACAGAGTGTTGTACTGCGTGGGCCTTTGGCCTGATCCAGCAGGGCCTCTCTTACATTCTTATGTTCTCTGTCTTCCTGGTGCTTGGGGGGGGCAACAGTTGGGAGGGCTTCTGGAGTTCTGGCCCCACAGGTGGACCTCCTGATGGCACCTGGTATTTCTGGCCACTGTGTGACACAGAGTGTTGGACTGGAGGGGCCTTTGGCCTGATCCAACATTGGCATATCTTACGTTCTTATGTTCTCTGTCTTCCTGG